CATGTTGAGATGACTCAACCATGAAAATCACGACAAGTTCTTTCTTCATAAAATGTATCTACCTTCATCGTTACGCAATTGCCATACCATATCCGGATGCGGCTGTTGCTCCGGGGCTTGGTAAATGCTGTATACTACATAGAGCACATGACCACAGTAACACATACACGAGCATCCTCACTAAGCTGCCAAATCCTCAGTTTCCTGACAACCATCCCAATGGTTTTGTTGGTCATGAATCATATGGTTAGTCAATCCTCATTTGTACAGTTAGCTTCCAGTCAAGACAATCTCCACATGGTATCATATTCTTCATCAGCTATCCGTTTATAATTGGACTCCTTTTCAAACTAAATCAGTAGAGCTCACCACTTCAAAACCACTCAAAGCAAATGAAAGTACAGATCGTGGCATTATTTCAAGTAAGGTTCAACTGAATTCTATTAATTCTTATTCCAATTCTAAACCTCATGCTTTGTTTGAAGTCATTTGGGTTCCACTGAAGAGACAAGCAAAAGGGAAATTGACATTAGCAAAAGGGAAATTGACATTATCACAGCCCTTTGTGTAGGTTCAACATTTCCGAAGCAATACAATAAACAACTCCGATTTACCATGGAAGCAACAAATCACTTGGCCAAAAAGAAGGGAGATTGACAGTTCTGGTCTTAACTTAGCCACACAGCCAGCCTTTGGCTCTACTGTAACTGATTCCTCGGGCAACAAGACAATGGATTGACTCCCTACACCTATGGGCTCAAGTTATGAGGATATGGCATCTGAAAGATACAGGACGGCACCGCACATGCAATCAAGATCATAAAAGAGTTTCAAATATTCTTTCATGTCTTCGCTAGCTTAAAATTTCAAAAATACTAACAATTACTATCATAATTAACTTGGGAAACGTATGCTAGATATGTCCATAACTCTGAAACAAGACCAGATATAATTTGATCTTTATGAACAAATCCAAAATCTTTCATTAGCATTGTGACTAAGAAACTTGGACGTCGAAACCGTACCGTCGTTTGACATTCTTCACTCANCGATAAAGGTAACACAACACAAATGGGGTTGGCTAAAATTTTGATTGAAGCCTTATAAATATTAAGTATATTATTTACAGGATACTATTTAAAAATCATTTTTACATCAAAAATCTAATTAAAATCTGGTATTCAAGTTTTGTCAATATGACTTTTTACAATAAATAACATAAATNCGGTGATCAAGAATCAAACTGACAATATAGAGCAAGAATAAAAAAAAAACAAAAACAATTCACACATGATACCTCAGTCGCCACATCCTGTTCATCATATATTCCAGTCAGCTAAAACATTANCAGTGATCAAGAATCAAACTGACAATATACAGCAAGAATAAAAAAAAAACAAAAACAATTCACACTTGATACCTCAGTCGCCACATCCTGTTCATCATATATTCCAGTCAGCTAAAACATTANTCTTGTGGCATAATCTATCATAGAGAAGATTGTATTAATTTAATGTTTAAAAAAAATTCTTTTTATAAAAGCAATTGTTACCGATATATCAATAATATTTTATAAGTAATACATGCATGCGTCTTGAAAAAAAATCTAACCCTTTTATGTTATTTAGTATTCAATTGGAGTGTCAGTTTTTATTTGTATAAGTCCTAGTAATNTAAAATTTACTACTACACATTTTCCACAAGAGCTGTCAATAAACATTCCAACACTCAGAATCAAAAAGCAGAAACACTAGAGTGCAGATAAAAAATCCAAGGACCCAAGCTTCCCGTGTTATTTCATGGTAAAAAAACCATCTAAAGTTTACATTTATTTGCCACACGACAAGCAAAGTGATCGTGACTGAATCCCAAAACAAATACATAGGTAGCAAAGACACCAATATCAAAATACAAAACAAAATTAAGGCTCTGAACATCGACGACAGNATCCAAAATATTTTCATGCTACTAATATTGTTTAAAGGTGCATAATAATTAAACAATAAAAAGTTGATCCAACACAAAATTGAAAACATTGTTAAATTCAAATTTGTTTTTTTTTGAACAAGAAAGTTGGATTCATTCGTCAGAAATTAACAAAAAGATTACAATCTGCTAGTAATAATGCCATTCCCTCACATGGTGGGTTCGAGACCCAGTCCAAAGGTAAGAAAAAAGAATGACTAATCGTTAGTGCTGAAATGAGAGTGTGAGGTCGAGGGAGTTTACAATAGCCTTGGTGTCGTTGATAAAGGCAGCTATTTCAAATGGGGTGCATCTTCTCCTGTGTAGAGTAGGATAACTACTTGGTTATCACTTTCCACCATCGCTTCAGTTAATTGCAATCTCTATCCTAAAAGACATGCTTCGCAGAGAACAACTTCAGTCTAGAGGCTTGAGACTACTAGAATGCATTTGGCCTTGCCCTCTAACAACTTTTCTGCAACATTCCTGAGTACTACTCCACAATTAGGAGTGTCCATGGGCCGGGTTACCCACGGCTCGTTACCTGACCCAAAAAAATAAGTCAGAAATCCGATAGACCCGATAGTGTCACTGTAAATTTTGAAGCCCGGCCCGAAAAAATTTCGCAAACCTAACCTGCCCCTGCCCCTGCCCCTGCTCCTACCCCTGCCCATGGACACCCCTATCCACAATGGGCCTGCTATTAGCTGGCCATGAAAACTCCATCACAGTTTATCTTAACTTGATTTTAGGGAGGAGGTTGCCAAAGTGTATGAGCAGATGAGGTCTCTACTACTTGATTGGAGTTTTCCTAGTGAGTTAGCGGAACTGAGTTGAACTCTCCCAAATTAGTCTGAGCCCTTAGAAGTGCGGCTAAAAAAAAAAAATAGGGTTAGGCTAGATGAATTGGAAGATTGCTTCATTTCTTGATTTCCATATGGACTAACCCACCTGTGCTACTTTGCTGAGAACTTGGGAATTGAACTGAAACTTTTTGCATGCATAAGATGAAAAGGGCTTTGCTTCTTTTTAGGGCTTTTATATGCGGGCTGAAAAATATCAGGCCATACTATCCTTAGGGTTTGCACTTTAAGGGCTTTCAAGCGGCCTAAACAAAAATTATATCTATGCCATCTTTATTTTATATCTATATCTTTTAAAATCAGTAGTTATAAGAAGAAAAAAAGTGGGAAAGAAATAAAAACAGAGTTTTAACAAAATTTGAATGATCAGTGGGAAACATGGAGAAATTTGATTGAACAAAACTTGCATTTTTGTTTCAATATAAGTAACTCAAAGTAAGCATGCATTCCTTTCTATAGCGCCTAAAATGTTTGTTTCTCAAGATCAAGTGAGAGAGTGTTGGGTACGATCTCGAACCATGGTAATAAGGTGATTATTACCTCTGATCCAACCACAGTCTTCATTTCTTCCATCTTCAGTCCATTCCCATAACTTTTCCATCCATGTTGAGATGACTCAACCATGAAAATCACGACAAGTTCTTTCTTCATAAAATGTATCTACCTTCATCGTTACGCAATTGCCATACCATATCCGGATGCGGCTGTTGCTCCGGGGCTTGGTAAATGCTGTATACTACATAGAGCACATGACCACAGTAACACATACACGAGCATCCTCACTAAGCTGCCAAATCCTCAGTTTCCTGACAACCATCCCAATGGTTTTGTTGGTCATGAATCATATGGTTAGTCAATCCTCATTTGTACAGTTAGCTTCCAGTCAAGACAATCTCCACATGGTATCATATTCTTCATCAGCTATCCGTTTATAATTGGACTCCTTTTCAAACTAAATCAGTAGAGCTCACCACTTCAAAACCACTCAAAGCAAATGAAAGTACAGATCGTGGCATTATTTCAAGTAAGGTTCAACTGAATTCTATTAATTCTTATTCCAATTCTAAACCTCATGCTTTGTTTGAAGTCATTTGGGTTCCACTGAAGAGACAAGCAAAAGGGAAATTGACATTAGCAAAAGGGAAATTGACATTATCACAGCCCTTTGTGTAGGTTCAACATTTCCGAAGCAATACAATAAACAACTCCGATTTACCATGGAAGCAACAAATCACTTGGCCAAAAAGAAGGGAGATTGACAGTTCTGGTCTTAACTTAGCCACACAGCCAGCCTTTGGCTCTACTGTAACTGATTCCTCGGGCAACAAGACAATGGATTGACTCCCTACACCTATGGGCTCAAGTTATGAGGATATGGCATCTGAAAGATACAGGACGGCACCGCACATGCAATCAAGATCATAAAAGAGTTTCAAATATTCTTTCATGTCTTCGCTAGCTTAAAATTTCAAAAATACTAACAATTACTACCATAATTAACTTGGGAAACGTATGCTAGATATGTCCATAACTCTGAAACAAGACCAGATATAATTTGATCTTTATGAACAAATCCAAAATCTTTCATTAGCATTGTGACTAAGAAACTTGGACGTCGAAACCGTACCGTCGTTTGACATTCTTCACTCGGTGATCAAGAATCAAACTGACAATATAGAGCAAGAATAAAAAAAAAACAAAAACAATTCACACATGATACCTCAGTCGCCACATCCTGTTCATCATATATTCCAGTCAGCTAAAACATTAAAATTTACTACTACACATTTTCCACAAGAGCTGTCAATAAACATTCCAACACTCAGAATCAAAAAGCAGAAACACTAGAGTGCAGATAAAAAATCCAAGGACCCAAGCTTCCCGTGTTATTTCATGGTAAAAAAACCATCTAAAGTTTACATTTATTTGCCACACGACAAGCAAAGTGATCGTGACTGAATCCCAAAACAAATACATAGGTAGCAAAGACACCAATATCAAAATACAAAACAAAATTAAGGCTCTGAACATCGACGACAGCAATAATAAAATTCAAATCAATTCAATGAGGATATATCTTCATATTCCGGTACTTATTGAACCATGCCTTCCAACTGCCAGACCCTTTCCTATTCCAAGCCGTGGATNAGCAATAATAAAATTCAAATCAATTCAATGAGGATATATCTTCATATTCCGGGACTTATTGAACCATGCCTTCCAACTGCCAGACCCTTTCCTATTCCAAGCCGTGGATTCCGATTTTCCATCATCAATTCCCTTTTGTGCTTGTGGCTTCTTGAACAGCATAAAGTTCCGAACCCCAACCGATCCAATTGTCTCCCAAGGACTCAGAGCTGCAACACATCAAAACAAATCAAGAAAAAAATCTGAATTAGAACATAAAACCCACGTATCATAACAAAGAGAAAGCCGAATTAAAACATGAATACAAAGAATTGATTGAAATTGAGTACCTTCAGTGTCGGAATTGGGGCAATAGAGAACAAAATTGTCGAGATCAGAGCCAAGAACCGGAAGGCGATCCTCACGCGCATAATTTTTCAAGGCAGTGTCAATAACAGCAGCAACAAGCTGTTCCTCATTAACCACAAATCGGATCGGACCTGCGCTGCCAAGCACGGTAATGCTGATCAAGAGCCTGTTACCCTTCCCGGTTTGGTTCTTCTTCTGCTTGTAAAGCAACATCTTGAAAAAAATCAAATTTCCTTACTAATTTCTCCGATTTCTACGGACAAAAACAATAAATTACGAGAAAAAATTGAGGTTTGTTCGAGAAAAAGAAAGATTGTCGTAGACAATGGTAGTGGCGGCGATGGATATGTTTTCAAGGGTCGACGCCGATGCAGCGATAGTACCAGCCTTCCTTGCAAGATCCAAAGCAGAAAGAGGACGAGACAGAAATCCCCCTTCTTGGTTTAGAGGGGGAGATCATTAACCAATTGCTCAAGATTTCCACCATTCAAGATAGAATTGAGTGCGTGTGAGAGAGGAGACAGAAGGGGAAAAAGATAGAAGGGTTTGGACGATGAAGGAGAAAGAAGAAGTGGGTAGCGAGAGAGAGAGAGATTGTTGCAAGAGGGCTAGGGTTTGCCCTTTTGCGTTTTCTCTCCCTGACGATACAAATATACGTGTGCGTGTCCAGGTCTTACAAATTCCGCCGACCCCTTCAAATGTCTCTCACAACCGACTCGTTTGCCAATTTGGGTTAGGGATGGCTTTGGAGAATTCGAGGCGTTCTAAACGAAGTTTCTATGTTTAATATGAATTTATTTATTTTTTGTTTTAAAATAAAAAAAAATTAAATTTTTATATTTAAATTTTGTTGTCATATTTTGTCAATTTATAGTATCGTTAATTGAATTAATTTCTTTTGCAAGTGATCTTTTTTTGTTGGGTGTTGCCAACTTGGCTTGTTATGTTATTGGAGCGAGAGCATGATTTGTAAATAAAGATTTGATTTTTGAGTTGTTAAATTTTTTTAATTTTTGTGGTTTTTAATGTTTGGGTTGAATTATGAACCTAAATGATTAAATTTAAATTTTTTTTGATTGAGTATGTGTTTTTATGATATCTTTTTGTAAAAATTAAAATATTTATGAATTTAATTTTTTTAAATGGGCTATTTAAGGTATCTAAAAATTGGGTGATTTAGAAGTTGGTATAATTTTTTAGACTTATTTGAGCAAAAATACAATACAAAATTTTATTTGGGTTAAAATACATATTTTTAAAAAATGACAATATTGTCATTCAATAAATAACTTATGGGTTGAAACTCTTTGTATTCCTTCCATATATTTTGGCTACAATCAAGCAATGAGAGATAAAATAATAATATATTTTCTTTAACAGTTTTTCTCTCTCTATTTATATTAATATTATAATAACACAATTACACTAATCAATTATAATTATCTTATAATACACTAAACAGTTACTCATGGGTTCTAATAAGTCAAACAGTTACACAAAATTATGACACAAACTTAATTTGTCATTTAGTTGTTTAGATAAATTAAATAGTTGCACCATTTAGTATCGCAACATCGTTATATCATCATGTTTTAACAATTGCATGAGACTGTGATTGTTATACCAATTAAAAAAATGGTTACACCCATTAAAAAAATAGTTACACACATTAAAAAATAGTTACACAAATTAAAAAACAGTTGCACCCATTAAAAAAAACAAAGAAGTTATTTTTTCCTACATGCCAACAATGAACAATACTAACAAAACATCTTGACCAATTTTTTTTGTTTTTTTTGTTTTTTGAAAAAATTCAGTGTTTATTCACATATAATTTGTGGCATTTTAATCAAATCCCATTGTCAAAGAATAAGGGTTTTGATTATTATTGCTTCTATTTACCTCTCATTACTATTGGTAATCTTTACATATTTGTTTTCTCAAACAACTGTCAATGATGACTGCATAATTTAAGGGAGGGTGTTTAAGTAAAAAAAATTTTAATTCATTGAATTTTTTACCTAAACACAAATTTTTTTATAAAAATTGTAAAACAACTTATATATGTTTTTGTTTAAATAAGTATAAAAAATTGTACACACACTCAAAAAACCCCTAAAAAATTGTAGCCTAAAGCCCAAGTATTTTTATTTCTACTATTGAGCCGCCCCTATTTGGGTTCGGTTCGAGTTCGATTAAGATAAAATTTGACTTGAGTTCGACTCATGTTTTAAATGAGTTGATATTGAATAATTTTTTTAACTCATTTAAAAAAACAAGTCTAAAAAACTCAGCTCAAATTCGCAAGATTTGACTCATGTTCAAAAATTTCGGCTCGTTTATATATAAAATAATCGAGCTACTCGGACTTAACTTAATTTTTAAAAAATCAAACTTAAACAAGCAAGCAAACAAGTGGACAAGTGAGCTCCATAAGAAGAATCTTGAGTGTAATAGATACCCCACGTCATAAGTGTTATTTTGTGTTATTTTGTATAATTGTCCACTAACAAGCAAACAAGTGGACAAGTGAGTTCCATAAAATTCAATAACCATCTCCATATAAATATAAAGTAAATTGACTAAATTTATCTATTTCTTTTAATAAAAAGTCAAAATAATTGACGTGTAATACACGCGTGCACTAATTAATATTAAAAGAAATCAGAATTCTTGTGTCCAGTTACATTATCGAGTTTTCAAATAGTACCTTGAGTTTTCATCTAATAAAAATGTGAAAAATATAATATTTTTATTTTAATATCTTTTATCACTTTTACATTTTTTTCAATTAATGATTAGATATTGTTCAAACTGAAATCTAATAATGTGATTAATTTTAGTATGGTATCGTAGGTCATATACTAACATTTTTTTAGTACAAACTTTACTTTACCCCTTTGTGGTGTACCCCAAAATGCACTTTATTTCTTAATATTTAAAAATTTTCCCATAACTCTCATGCGATTTGTGGAATATAATGAAATCCTAACACCGTTAACGAAAATTATTAAAATGACTTTAACACACATATTTCTCTCCTTCTTTCTTCTCCTCTTTGAAAACCTCTCACCTCCGTTGTAATTCGCCAACTAACGTCATCAAAAGTTTAAAAATTTTATTTTTATTAATAACGGTCACGAAATTCAAAATTTTAAAATTTAAAATTTTCAACGACCATATTAATAACGATTATATTTGGAGCGATCATAACGGTCATATTTACAATGGTTATATTTGCAACAGTTATATTTTTGGATATGTATAAATAGGATCTTCCATAGCTCATTGTCAAATCTATTTATTGGCATTGCACTCTTCTTTGTATTTATTTTATGGCTCGTCATTCTACAATGAAGATCATTATTAACGATTCTGACTCCGATGATGAATTAGAGATGGTAATAATTTGTGCAATGGAAATGAACAAACTCAATAGTGAGGAAAGTTCTGGTGTATGTTGTGGTTCTATTCAAGGTCATTCAATTATTTTTTGCAATCGAGTTCAAGGATACGAGAGATTGTATCGTGATTATTTTACTCAATCACCTATCTATCCCCTAAATTTATTTCGAAGAAGGTTTCGAATGAATCAAGCCCTTTCCTTCGTATTCTATCCATGATGGAAGATTATGATCCATATTTTGTGCCAAAAAAAAATTATGTTGGAATTATTCGTTTGTCTTCCCTTCAAAAGATGACAGCCGCCATAAGAATGCTTGTTTATGGAGTTGTAGCAGATGCTGTTGATGATTATGTGAAGATTGACAAAAGCACCCTAATAAAGAGTTTGAAAAGATTTGTGAGGGCGGTAGTAGCAATTTTTTTCGATGAATACCTCAGGTCACCAAACAACGATGACATTGCTAGAATATTAGCAATGGGCACCAATCGTGGGTTTCTTAGGATGTTGGGTTGCTTTGATTGTATGCATTGAAAATGAAAGAATTGTCCAACAGTATGAAAATGTATGTATTCTAGTCATTTTCATGAACCACCAATTATTTTGGAGGCGGTGGCTTCATATGATCTTTGGATTTGATTTGCTTTTTTTGGGTTACCTGGATCTCATAATAATATAAACGTACTAGAACGTTCTTCTGTTTTTGCTCTACTTTCAGAAGGTCGGGCTCCTCCAATCAATTTTTCAGTTAATGAAAATGATTATAAATTGAGATATTACATTGTTGATGGTATATATCTAAAATGGACAACATTTGTCAAAATAATTACATCTCTAAGAGGCAATAAACAAATACATTTTGTAAAATATCAAGAGTCAGTAAACAAGGATGTTGAGCGAGCATTTGGAGTGCTTCAAGCACGATTTGCTATAATGCGTAGACTAGCACGTTTTTGGTTACTTGAAGTGCTTAAGGATATTGTGAAGGCAAATATAATTTTACATAACATGATTGTCGAAGATGCGTGGAACGCTAATGAGTTGGATTTTAGTTATGATTCAATGAATGAGAGTCCCACTGCCACAATAATACCTGAGCGGAGTTCAGAACTGCTCCAATTTATTAATACTCAAAATTGCATTAGAGACAAAGAAACTCATTCCAAACTCCAAGTTGATCTAGTCGAGCATCAGTGGAATGTGCATGGAAACTACAACGCACTACTTAAACAAATGTTATTACAGTACTTGTAGCACCGTTACTACTACTTAAAGTTGTTTGTTTATTAATAAAAAAGAACTACATCTTCTTTCCCAATATTTTTATTTGGCGGCGCTGAAAATATTTAGCTTGCAACTCGTATCCATCGGCATTATTCGCTCTTCCTCTCTTGCTTGCTCCATTTGCATTCTCTCTTTCTCTTGCAGTAGACATTGTTGTTCTTGAAGATAACATTTTGTCAAACATTTCAAATTTCTTCTCATTTATTACCTTTTTTCCTTCCTTCATCTCTGCTAACAGATTCACGAGTTCAAAACTTGTTGCATCACCTCTAACTTCTTTGCTCTTTGATTTTTGTAGTCGCGCTTTCTTAGCTTTCCTTCCAGGTGGTCTGTCTAAGGATCCATAGGACCCACCGTCAACTTTTAAATTTATGGAGTCCACTGTAGAATGCACGGAGCCGCCAAGAGTTGCATTATGTTTTGTTTTTTTTTTGCTTCTTTGCTTGAGAATCCTCCATTCATTTTGGTTGATCCCTTAACTCATTTCAACAATGTTCAAACGGAAAAGAAGATTTATAGAGTTCCT